TCAGTTATACTTACAAAAAACTAAAATTAAATTAATGAGTATATATTATATTATTAATTATTATTATTTAATATTATTTAATTTTTTCTCTATACATAAGGGTGTGCCTTGGCACACCCCGTAGATCCGCCTATGATTCTGTATTTATATATTATACATTTAAACTAAAAATATTACTTAGTAATAAAATTACAATTAAGTGTTGACTAGTTTTGAAAATTTTTTTTTTTTACTTAATTTATTTTGCTCTCTATTTTAAAATACTGAATACTGCCGCATGCACATTGTAATGTAATATGTTATTATATCAGACATAACATCGGTTTTATGCAGGGAGCATGGAAACAAAAACTGTTTATTATTTTCAGTYATGTGGTTGACWGTTAATTCAAAAACATCAGCATATTTACAGTACTGGGTAAATAAATCTTCTATATAYCTAATAAATTCAAATAAATTATGGTTAGGATGTAATAACCAGTCTTTGGATTTTATATTTGTTAGTTCAGCTACAAGATTTGCAGATGATTTTATTGAACTATTGAAATATGTTGTACATTCTTCACACTTATAACGTTTATTTGTAGAACTTGAACTAAAAGAAAATAAATTTATTTAATATTATTTAATTACCAAACAAATTAGAATAWACAATGGTTGGGATTAATAATTATTATAATTATTCAAATAATATAATACCAGCCAGTAACACGGTACAGTTACTTCTGTTTAATACTGGCATACTGTTACAACTACCAAAATAATTACTTATAATATCGTCATTATTAAAGTGGAGTTCACACAAATATTTCACAGTAGTTTGTTTGTGGTTTACTTTTGATACAATTTTGGACCATATTTCAGAAGTATCTTTATTTTTCGGAGCTTGAAATATCCAGTATTTTTTAATGTGCTTTCGACTTTTACACAGTAACACATAACAGTTGTTAACCATTTTTAAATTTTTTACGGAGGTGATAAGGATATAAACAATTTAAAACAGTATGTTTAAAGCATGTACAGTATATAGAATGATTTATAGATGTGTTAAAATAACCATATTTATGTTTTATTTTTGAAATATGTAATTATACCATGCAAATTGTGTTTTAATTAGGTTGCAAAGTTATTCTCATAGATTGCGCCAGATCCACTTAAAGGAGCGGTTTAACATTTACTGACCGTACCCCTCATACCCGCACACCCGACAGTATCAAGTCCGTGGTTCGTGGTATCTACTAACTACTTTAGGAACCACACATTTTTTGTAAATAAATAATACATTACATAATTATTTTTATTGTTATTTGATAAGGAGGTCTGACGGTGTTTAAAATTTTAAAAATCGAACATGTCCTTAAATAAATGCAATGCGAAACAAATACGATTAAATAGTAATATAAATTCTTACGGATCTAATAGATTATCTTATTGATGTGACTATACGCTATGTGATACGATGACAATATTATTAAATTAGGCAAGAGAAAACCATCTTTTGACCTAAGTGAAACAGTAGACCGATTCGGGCTTGAGCCGGCCTAAAATCTGAATCCCGCTTTTCTGTCAGTCTATTAATAGTCAATCCAGGCAGCTCTTGTGTTCTGCAGCGACGTCGATTTACAACGCCGGTTTGGGACTCCTTCGCAATGGCGGTAAACTTTATTTTATTTAGGCATATTATTTAAATATTTAAAATTACAGAAGTTAATAAATAGTGCCTCATTAAATATCACATATTTATTGTATTTGCGAATGTAGAGTTTTTGATTGGGTGTATTTACAATACATAGATACTTCCTTAAATATTTTTCTAGTATTAACTGTTGGAACATAACAAGTAGCAATATTATGAGACATAAAAAAAAAAAAAAATTGAGCTTAATAATTTTAATGCTCTTTAAATAAATTCAGTTCAACCTTATGTATTTGTTTGTAAAAATTATTTGCTTCAGGTTTTAATAATACGTTTAATAACTAATTTTTTAAAAATATGAAATTTGTAATAAGTCATAAAAGTTTTCTTTTAAAAATTGTATTCAAATAACTAATTAATTTTATTTTTTTATTTTTTGATATCTGTTAGAGCTTTGTTAATTCTGTATTTAATAAAAACCAATAAACTATATAAAAAAATAAATGTATGTTTATGTATTTTTATTAAACTTGGCATATTATCTACTAGTATCTTCAATAACTCATATCTGTTTGTTTAGACTTTATTGGGTATCCAATTAATTATTACAATGATCGCCATTAATCTAATACATCGTCTTAGTCCTATCTATTCTTTTGCTCGTTGGACACTATGTTCCACAGGGTAAGTAGTATGATGACAATTTTTTTTATAAAAATTCATTAGAGTAAATTTACTAATTTTGTTTGTTGGAATTTGACACCGTAGTTTTATATAATTTTTGTTGTTAGACTTGTTCGTTATTTACACCCTACTGATAAAGAGCTTAGACAGTTATCAGGGCTGAAGAAAAAAGATTCAAAATCAAGTAAGAGACCTATACATGCTCAAAATGATAATATTGATATATTTCAAATACCCAAAAATTTAGACATTGAAGTGAGTTCCTATGTTTATTAGTAAAAATTAAATAAATACAAAAATATCTTTTTTTTTTTTTATATTACCATATATTTTAGTTAGAGAGTCAACCTATTCAAGAACATGAAATATATCAGCTCAGATATTTTATGGAATATCAATGGCTAGTAAATTTCTCTTTATATGCAGCTTTAGTCTATTTAAGTACTGAAATATACTCTTACTATTCACCAATTGATAATGAAATTAATCTTAGTATGTTATGGTGTTCAATCGTCATTGTTTTTACATTGTATCCTTTTATTGAATAATTTCAGATATATTTAAAAATTGTTCTTTTTCCTTAATTTTTAAATATTTAGCAAAATTCTTATGTCTCTGACTTTAGAATACTTTCGTGGTTTTGAATCTTCGGGTGAACGTTCAACTGTAATAGTTGCAGCTTGCATTCATTTAGTCATTGCTATGGTTATTTTAGTCATAGACGAGTCCAAACTTGATGTTCGGTTGGATACTGCGTATAGAAGCTTTAATGAAACTTCAACAGCATTTTTAAACAATCATGGCTTATCTTCACAGTAATTATCAATGTATTACATTATAATAAAAATTTTAAATGAAATACATTTTTGTTTTATATTTTTTAGAGGACCTGCATCAAAGTTAATTGTAAAATTTTTCCTAGCTTTATGGTGTGCAGTTACAGGGGCTATGTTTGTATTTCCTGGAATACGTACAGCAAAAATGCATTGGGATTGTCTTAGGTGACAAATTTAAAGTCATAATCTATTATAATGATATTAACCTTTTATTACCTTTTTTTAGATATTATGAATGCAATGAGTTACATGGCAAATATTTTTCATGTAGTTCAACTTTCATTAAAGGCTTTATGAATTTTAGTTTAATAACTCATTTTTTACTAGTTCTACTTTGGGTAAAACCAATAGCAGTGGACTTATTAACTGCGAAAAATCTTTCTGGATTAAATAAACCATTGTAAATATATTGAAAAACAAATATTTGACTATAAAGAATAATTACTGATTGTTAAAGTTATTATTATTATTTTTAAGAATGACATTAGAACAATTTGAAAGCTTACGTTGTTGGATGGTAGTATTAGTGGTATTTCAAAGATTATATCTGATGCCTACGTTTATGCAAGCTTATCTTAATATGGCTCAAGAGCGTTTGGAACAACAAAAAAAAGAAGCTGGAAGAATTACCAATAAAGACTTACAAAAACAAGTATAATTCTTTGGTTTTTGTTTAAAAATATCTGTTTGTTTAAATTAACTATTTTACTTAATTTCAAGGTGTCTGTGATTTTTTACTACACTTGTGTTGTAGTGCTACAATATGTTATACCGCTCGTAATGATGTTATTTTTCATATTCTTTTATAAAACTTTAGGTAAAAAATTGCCTATATGACTATTTATACAATTAATGTTCAAATTATATAATCAAAATGTTGTGAACTTATTTTTCAGGCAACTTTAGTTGGGTTCAAGTTATTGTCAATTCTTCCCCGGTAATAGATATTAGTAATCAGAATTCATTACTTGAAGCTAATCAAGCACATTTTTCTATTCAGTCTTTGAAACAAGTAAACATTATTAATATTTTTATAACTTAAATTTCTTTATTACAGTATTATTTATTAGGTATTAACAGTAGATGTATACCGAGGAATATTTGGCTTTGCTACGTGGTGGATATGTTTTTCATGGTTTCTATCTCTGTCAGTTGGCGTGTTCTACCAATCTTACTTAGCACCTAAGTAATTACCCAATTAAAAGTGTCTTTGTTTTTGAACATGTAAATACAATTCCTAAGTAAAATTGTTGTAAAAAGTGATTTTAATTGTTTAACAAAAGACACAAATGAAAAGTTTTTAAAAATCAGTCAATATTATGAATATTTAGTTTAATAGTTTTATTTTTATTTAATAATTAAATTAATTGTATATGTTTAAAACATAAGTCAATAAAAAATTATGATGTATATGTTTGTTGGTTTGATAAAATGTAATGTGTTCAAAATAATATTTTAATTTTAAACACTATTCAATTATTATTTGATACAAAGTATAATACATAATATAAAAATATTAATATAATTTTAAATTGTGCACCTGAGCATTTATAGAAGCTTCATTAGCTGGGCCAATAGCTAAAACTGTCATTTGATCTTTTTCAGTAAAAATTGCTGTTGGAATGCCAAATAACTTGCATTGCTTTTGAATACACTCTAATGTTTTTAAATCTGGTGCTCGTAAAACAACTCTAGCACATTTAGAGGGTAAATTGAGCAATTTAGTTTTATTGTACGCAATAACTGATGCAACTGCACACTAAAACAACCATAATTTATTCAATTAAATATATTTAATATAGATGGACTTCAAAAATAAATTACTTAAGTAACTTATGTTTTTATTATTATTTCAAAGAACTATAAAAAATATACAATCATAATCTGAATAATAATTATTATTAATACACTTCAAGATTTTGAGTGAATAAATCAATTTCTTCCCTTTCAACTGGACCTATAGCCATCACGGTCTTAGATCTGGGAGCGACCTGAGTACGGCCTGCATCTACTACTACATAGGTAGTGAATCCTTTTTCAATGGCCAATTGCTGAAACTCTAACATGGTTTTTTCATCTGCTATCTTGAATATATCTACTGGTTTATTGTTTGACTCCCAGCTATTTATTTCTCTTGGTTTTAACCTCAAGCTTTCTTCATAACAGTGCACAATTGCATGTGAGCACTACACAATAATACAATTATAGGTACTTTGGAAAATAATATTTTGGAAAAACTAACTAACAAGGGGCAAAATATCAGTAAAGTGTTCAATAAATTTAATAAATTCAATTTATTTGATTACTTATAAATTAGTACAAAATATAAATTCAAACATCAGCATATTATCCAGATTAGTTCATGTTATCTAGACTATGAACTACCAAAACATTTTGAAAATTTGCATGTACCACTAGACGAAATAGACAAAAATTAAAAAATATACGTTATTTTACACACAATATGTACTGAATCATGGTTGAATTATACTGTACATACTGAATTAATTTTTGTAAGGAACTTCAAAATTATTATGTTATAATCGTTTAGTGCACAAAAATAAAATAAAATAATATTGATTAATGATCAATTCCATTTTTTTATAAAGGAAGATTTTCTTCGTACTACCCATGAACTTCCTGCATGAAAGAGGTTGAAAAACTTGAAGATTGGATTATTAAGCCAATAACTTTACATTATTTTACACCAATATAGATTTTTACTTAAACACAGTACTGAAATATATTTTTACGATAGATGTTTGATTATTCTTACTATACAAATTAGCAATAAATATAGCTAAATAATATTTATATCATAAACTGCAAAAAGATTTTAAATTATAACTAGGCTTCCTGTTTTGTAAATCATTAACATATTTTTATTGTGTATGCAGTTGATGGTAGTAACCAGTAAGTAATGACAAGAGTCCGGATTTATATACAATAAAAAGTATCAAAATATGCCATATAATACGCAGTAAAATTATTAAAATATGCAGTTAAAATCATTAATAGGTATATGCAAAAAATATGTATTTACAAATTTCAAAGTTAAATTAAGTAGGTATGTGAAAAAAACATAAAAAAATAAGATATAATAAAATGTCATATAATAATTATATAAATATAGTTTAATAGCAATGCGAAAGCAGATCCCGCGGCGTCGTCGGTTAAAACAGAAAAAAAAAAAAAAAAAAAATATAGTTTAATATAATGTGTTTTTAATTTTTATTCTTTATGATTAAAATGAATAATAAAATGGTGCTCAAGTGTATTCTCAGTAAAACTATGCCGTCTATCTGTTAGTAAATGTTTATGTATAGAAAATGATCATTCACAATCCACCGACGTTATCGGGGCAAATTTGAAAGAGTTTAAAATATTTGGGTCTTGATAGTTTTCATTTAATTCAACTACTTCCGTTTCCCCTAACAATACTTTGTTAATTTTAAGCAATATTTTTAGGCCCTTGTTTTTGGATGTCAATTGCCGGCACGGTTGTAACTCGAGAACAGTTTACTAAATGTTTATTTAATAAACTGTAGGTAATATTATAAAATTAAATGAATTATAATTTATATCAATACCGACGATATAACGATTAGATTACAACAGATGAACTATCTATTTCTTTTTATACAATGGGATTTCCTCAACTATTTCTAATGTTAATGTATATATAATATGTATTTTAATTGAGATCTAAAACTGTGTCRTTAATTCCGAGTCCTACCCAAATTACCGGCCAAAAATATTTGGCGACTGCGCATTCATTGAAATATGCAACAAATATGTATTTATAGACAAATATGMATTTACAGTAAAATATGCAAAATAAAAATTCAGCAGTGAATTCCAACTTGTATGATTCGTGGAGATTATTAACAAAAATATAAAAAAGTTAAAAGGAAAAAAATGCAAAAACCTATGAATCTGGGCTCTAGTAATGACTAATGAGAAATGAGAAATATGGATGATTATGTATCTAACAAAAATTAGATCTTCAATTTATAATAACTGAAAATTCACTTTGGCCATATACCCTCAGAAAAGATACCCTTAATTTATAATAATAAAAATTTGCAGCCTCCACCAAAAAAATATTTTTTAATTCACCCCAAAATTGGGATAAAATAAGAACTATTTAAACCAATTAAATAAAACTAAAATATTAGAGATATCACAAACTGTTCAACCCAAATCCTTAATAGTTCGGTTCAATAATCTAACCAGAGAAATAAAAAATAAATATTAAATATCAATAAATTTGAAATAAAATAATAAATAGGTATCCAATTTTGAATTTTTTAATATTCGGTTCAAGTTTGATGAAATATTTGAAGAGTTCAGTTCAAGTCTAACTAAGTATATAAGTACAGATTTGTTCGAGTTTGTTAATCATAATTTAGAAAAGTTTGGTTAGAACTTAAATATTATGGTTTGTAACATCTCTATAAAATATGATTTAGTTTTAATTTTCTCACTTGTGCTGCAACTTTGCCTTTGCCCATTTTCAAATCATGACGAACCAGTAATGCCATTTTGAATTCTCCATTTGTATTAGGTTTGGCTTCTTGTTGTTGACTTTTACCCACATTTTTTTCATCTTGACTTGTCCTTATAGTTTTAACAATATAATTAAAGATCGTATTGATAGTCAGACCAATCAGGAGACCAACGGTTAAACCGCCATAAAACTTTTCAGTTGTAAAAGTCATTTTAAATACAGCATAAAAATATCACAGGTACTTATATTTAAATTAAATATAATATGACTGGATAACCGATATCCCTTTTTCAGTATAATTGATTAATATCATTAAACTTTTCTAGAGTTTGCACCGACCAATATTATATGTTTATATGTAAATTGCAAATCGTGTAGTAGTGAACAAGAAGTTGATAAGATTATAAAATTATTAATTATTAATCGGTTACTAAGTATTAAGTACCGACTTTTGTGTTCTGTCTACTATTAGACTTCTGAGAAGTGAGATTGTGCTGAAACATAGAACTGTCAATAGTTCAACACTAACACTTCAACCACTGAACCACAGAATATAACAATATTAACAATGCATCAACAGTGTCAATTACTGGAGAAGGCATTGAGATAAAGAATAAATCTCGATCACGATGTAATCTTCTCTACATCGTAATCTCGATGAATAATAATATTATCAGTATTATCATTTATCACAGAACAATATAACCTTAAATCATAATTAAAAGGATTTTCTTGGAGAATAATATACATTTATTAAAAGTACCAAAACGGTTTTACTGTGGTATACGGTGGTAACAAAGCATCAATACCGATATCCTGGTTCCCAAATCCTATAGTTATCCAAATTCCAAGTTCCAAGTAACTATATACAAATTACAGATACCTACTAGTAAACACCTAGGTATTCTTATTATAGTAGTTTGGTAGTTATCAAATTTCATTTAAATTTACAATTGTATTGAAATAACTTAGTGTAACTAACGAATAGTCTACTGAAAAATGTTTAACAATTAAGTTAACGTGTTGTAATTATCAATAAATAAATTTAATATTAAAAAGTTTTTGAAATAATATTTTGATATTATTAACCATATACATTAGATAGAGTAATATGTCCAAAGAAGTAATGATGACCATAACTTCTCCCACAACACCTGTTCAACAAGGCCTGTTCAGAAAACGAAGCAGTAGACCAGTGCACATAAAATCATGGACCATCATGTTGAACAAAAATGGGTTTGTCCGGTGCCATCTCCAGCATTGTCGATACATAGCTTATTGTATAGACGACATGAGAGAGCATTTCAAAACATGTCGTGGTGAAGTAGCTGGAAATTTTGTTTGCCCAACGTGTGGTGGTCAAACAACATCGCAAGAAGCACTTGATTATCATAAACAAAACAATCATAAGGATTCTGATGTAATGTCAATTATAATAAAACCTACTCTCACAGAGCAACAATTAACATTGTGGACAACTGATATCAAGACTCGTGGATATACTCAATGTTTCATGCCTGATTGTCATTTCATTAGTTACAAGATTTCTGAGCTTGAACAACACTATGAAAAGTGTCTTGGTGAAGATCCAGACACATCCTCTAAGTTTTTATGTCGTCATTGTAAAGGTTATACATCTTCACAACAAGCTCTTCAATTCCACCAAAACAATCACCATAAAGATTTACTGTTTCCTATAAAACAGGTAAGATTGTGTATTTATTAATTTATTATCTTATATCTACCTAATACAAAATTGCTTACTTACGGTATAATTAATAATAAATTAACAATCTCAATTAAAGTCTAAGGATTTTATTTTGATTTATTTGGTCTGCATAAGTCATTTATCAAATATATTTTACTATTTTAGAACTTGCAATGTTTACCACATAAAAAAATCTTAAGTGTGTTTTATAATGATATTATATCATTTTTATATTTCATTTAAGATTTTATAAGATACCTGTACTCTGCGCTATAAAAGTACATTGTATCCCGACTAAAGTGCATTGATTCTGTGTATTCCTGCAATATTGAATGATTTGAATGGCATAAAATGGGGAATTGGGTTCTCATAACAGTTGCTGCTATCAGTTTACATGCGCAAAATAGTATATTTCTCTTGTGGCACAAACATTGTGTATAACATTTAATTTGAATATTTCTAAAAATTCCATTTACTATTAAAATTACTATCCCAGTAATGAATCTAAAAGTACCAATATACTTATGTGAAATTTTTTATTTTTTATTTCAGGAAAAAAAAGATGATCTTGATGAAGATAATAAAATAAAATCTTACMCAATGGGTCAATATGGACATCCAACATCAAGTTCTACAAATCCTGCTAGCAAAATAGTAACTTATTCTCAATGGAAAATGCAAGAAGATTTAGCTGATACTGAATCTATCTGTTCTGAGGTGAATGTTAACAATCCAACTGATACTCAAATTAAAGAGTGGATAATAGATTTAAAAAATGGTTATGTACATTGTAATCACAACTCTTGCAAATACATGTCATTTGATGTAGACGATATGAATGATCATTTTGCTACATGCTTTGAACCATATCTTGACGATGAATTTGAATGTTCTATTTGTGGAGGTAGAACCACATCATCAAATAAACTAAAAACACATCTTTTGCACCATCATGAAGAAGGTTACAAACACTTAACTGAAGAAGAGTGTGGTTTCAAATTAGTTGAAACTGAAGATGGTCTGGAGTTGCAGTCTGAAAATAAAGAGCCTATAAAACGTAAAACTGAAGAGGTTGACGAAGAATATGAAGAAAAACATTCTGTCAAACGAAAGTCATATGATATACCCTATAACCATTTAACCAAATGGCGTGATGAATTGCTACGGAACAAATTTATACGGTAAGTCAACAATATTATCATTTTATCGATTATATTATCAATAATTCTAATATATATTTTTTTTTAGATGCACTGCTTCAGATTGCAGTTATTTAGCTTTGGATATGTTAGAAATGAAACAGCATTCCGATGAACATGTAGATAGTGTTTACTGGTCATTTAAAGATCGTAATTTAGAAGACAGAGTTGCAAATTACTGTGATGCGTGCAATGGTCATTTCAAAAGTGTAAAACATTTAGATGGCCATAAATTAGTATCACATAATAGTAGTGATACATCCAATATAGATAGTTTGTTAATAGAAAACAACGAAGAAAATATTGAAGACGATGAAGAAATTGAAGAAATTTTTTAAGTATTAATTTTGATTCAATTTGATTTTCTCACATACCTACATTAAGATTGCAAATGCACTTTTGTGTTTAATTATCTCATATAGGCCAAATGTTCAATATTATACCATTGTTTTTACTATTAAACTTATGTATGTTCAATATATTTAATTTATTTATTTCATCAGTTTTGTAATTTCTCAAAAACAAAAACAAGACCAAATTTTGATATTTACTATTGATTTTTTTTTTTTGCATTTTTTTTTTATTTCTTCAATTATCTATTCAATAGTTTTTAATTATGCTGTTTATTAGGAATCATGTTAGTTTCTTCAGCTTATCATTTAGTGTATTTTAGTACATTCACTTTTATAAATATTGAAACCATATTGAAAAATTTATTGTACATTTTGTGTGTAATTATAAATATTTTGTATTGTTCTATATAAATATAAAGTGATTTTAAAAAATCCCATCATAATAACTTCACTGTTAATTTTTGAAGTATACAATTTTTATTGTTTTTATTAAAATGAATAGATATTTTATGTAGAATGTACAACATAATATAACCAATAGATTTTCATATAGTTTTATAATTTTTATCAATTTGTTTGTAAATTAATTCAATTTGATCTCTGTAATAAAAATTCAAGATGATACAACAATTAATAATAAACAGTCAATACCACAATTACTATTGAAAATCATATTTTTGAATACAAATGGTACTTTAATCTTTTTTCGGAATATTGTTTTAAATTAAACTATTAACTGAATTTTGTTAATTTGAACTTATTTAATTAAAAATACCAATTATTTCATGTGGTTAGTTATTTATATAATAAGTGAAAAAATTACACATCCAAATTTTTAGAAAATTGTATTTCTGACTAGTTTWCAAATATAACTTTGTGATGTACAATACAATCTTAACACTTATGTTTAATTACATTTTTTTTTAAATAGAACACTATTTTAAGTTTTAAAGCATTTATAAAGAGAAAAAGCAGGAAAGTGGATGTCGTTCTGTTGTAATGTAGGTTACAAGTGGGTTACTGTAATGGATGGAATTAAATTTGAATCCAATGATATTATATCATTGTATACAAAAAACGATTCTGAGCGGAAACGGTTTATCTTTCTAGGATATATTATAGATTATAGAAATTTTTAATTTTTAATTTAACTTTGAATGCTTATAAAAAAAAATTRTGACTATATATTTCTTTTATTTTTAAACTGCTATTGTAAAAAAAATGTTAGGAACCTTGTATTTAAATTTCAAATCTTAGATATAAAAGGAAATTTTTTTATGAATTTATAGCGCAAAATAATTTGCGAAATTTCGTTATTTTTACGTATGTTGTCAAAATTAAAATTGGGACATTTTGTTTGTGATAAAGATTGACAAACTTGTAAGGAATCTTGTATTAAATTTTTAAATCTTGGATTTAAAAACAAAATTTTTGATGAATTTCTAGCTTAAAATAATTTGTAAATTTTTGTGATTTTTACGTATTTTGTCAAAATTCCAACTTTGAATGCTTATAAAAAAAAATTGTGACTATGAATTTATTTTATTTTTTAACTGCTATTGTATCAATATGGTAGGAACTGTGTATTAATTTTCAAGCTATACAAATAAATTTTTATTGATATTAATTAAAAAAAAAAAAATAATGATCGAAAATTGCATATGCCTATGAATAGTTCAATTTAAGTCGAAAAGTTTTGAAAATTGCATGGTGGATAGAATATACTTATATAAACATTCGATGAAATTTTCATGTATCGATGGTAATTTGTTTTAAAGTTACATCAAAAACCAAAATCGATTTTGTCGAAAACTGATTGTGCGTAAAATTTCCCGTTTTTCCCTTAATTTTTAGTTTGTTTATCCCAATTATTTAGAAAAATATTTAGAATTTTTTACTTTTGACCCCCCAAAGTACCAACTAGATTTAGTGAAATGAAGAATGTGTTTGGTAGTTTTTCTATATCAATTTATTCTACCATTTTTTAAGAGTTGATATAATTTTAACAATGTTTTTTAAAGAAATCAATAGTCATTAGAAACTGTTGAAAAAGTTTCTCATGAGTCTTCAACTTTGCTAGGCAGTGCTATGGCTAGTAGACCATCTTTTATTTTTAAAAAATCTTAAGGGCAACATTAGTACTAAAATTGTATAACAAAATATATAGGATATACTGGATATAAGACTGATATAATGATAGATGTGGGTTGAAGATCCCAAGCTAGCTGTAATAAATGTTTACAGAAATTCATTAAATAATGAAAATATAGTCACGATATTTTAAAAGAATACATTTTTGAATGAAATTTTTTTAAATTTTAATGAAAGTTGTCAAAAATTGATTATTATTCTCTATTTCAAAATAGCTA